ATGAATAATATAAATATAAATTATTTGATTGCACATGAATCACTATATTCATTCCATAGGATAATATAACTTTGGTAATTCTGAGAGACCATTATTTAGCTAGAAAAATATGGAAATAACAATAACAATAACAACAACAATAATATAGAAATTGTTTAAGGAGTTTGGCTATGCGGTTAAAATTAATTATCTGATTTAAAAAAAAAAATGTTTTTTATGAGATGCAAAAAAGAAAAATATTATTAACTTTAGAATAAATAGCTTGAAAAAAAATAAAATAAAAAATATAATTTGTTTTGATGATTGTCGTACCTAAATTTTTTTAAAGTTCGATATGGCCCATCAAAGAAGAGCCAGACGAAACCCAATACCCTCCAAGCCCATGAAATATGCAAACAGCCCAAAAAGGCAACACTCGTCAAGTCTGTTGATCTCCTACGATCAGCAGATAAAGACTCTTGTCGATCCCTCTCTATTCCTTCTCTTGGAAGATTAGCGATCTTTCTTGCATGTGAAGGTCGAACCGATAAAGCTTCAAAAAGCAACTAAAAAAATCCTAAGGAAGAGTTCTTGCATGAATACAAGCAACGCCACCCTACGCCCGTAGGTGGCATCGGCATTGCTCAACTTTTAAATTAGGCCGAGATTTTTTCCAAATGCATTTATTCACTTCATGACTAAAAGACTATGTTGTTGTTTGTCGGTTAGTACCAGCAGGCAGCAGTTGAACTTAGGATTGAATCTTCCATGAGAAAGATAAGAAGAAGAGCCCCAAATGACACATGGAGCTCAAGGACTCCAAATCAACAGCTACTATAAGCCTAAAAAGGAAAGGATAACACACACAGACACAACTAAACACCCTTATAATTAAATTAGTTATCACAAAAGGTAAATGGAAATCATCTTCAACAGAACTATGTTCATTTCATCACATTAGTACATCAGACTATAAAAGGTTGGGTAAAGACCATGTATGAACTATTAAGTCACTACGCCAAAAAAGGCTTCAGATAGCGCTTTTTTGGTGCTACAGATAACGCTTAAAAGCGTTATCGGAATCAGTGTTATCTGAAGACCGATTCTTCAGATAACGCTTAAAAAGCGTTATGTGAAGAACCTTTCACATAACGCTTTTTTATAATAAGCGTTATGTGAAGAACTTTTCACATAACGCTTTTTATATTAAGCGTTATGTGAAGGGCTATTCACATAATACTTGTTTATATTAAGTGTTATCTATAATATTAATCATATAACATTTTTAACAAAAGTGTTATCTGAGATTATGACAATACATAACGTTTTTTTAAACAAGCGTTATCTATGTACAATTATATATATATATATATATATATATATATATATTGTGCTTGTATCCATTAACTACCTATACCAATAAACAAGAATCGGGTACTTAAATCATAACCCCATATAAGAAGCAAGAACCAACAAGAAACAACAAAAACATGAATATAACAAAAATTTACTAACATAATCCACCAATTTTAACATTGTGCTCGTGTATGTACAAAAGAATAATGTAGCACAAAATCATGAAAGAATCTCCAATTGCAATTAATCAAGAAAAAAAAACTAATATTCCTAGTAAGAAATTCGTCCACCATTAATCATTAGCCAATATTCTGACCAAACAATTTTTTATTGCAACCTCCTGCATCGCAAAAGTTATACATATATTGATATCAAATTTAAGTCATTCATCACTTATTATAAACAAGATATAAAAAAAAAAAATGTAATAGGATTAAAACAAAATACATACCTGTTAAGTAGGAAGAAAATGCGTATGTATCGAAAATGCGCATGTATCTACCAGAATTAAAAATTGACAAGAAACATTTCAATCGTTATCTATTAATTCTATTTCGTAATAAATTATAAATTTAACACAACAATAACAACAAACGAATCGACACTAGTAGAGTTTTTATCTTATACAACTCTGGATAACATATTGTGCCCATTCTTCCCGAACTTCATCTACTTTGCTCCTTAGATAATTGAACGCACTTGTAACTAGAAAGTACTACAAAATATAACATTATTAATTACATTTTAACCAAAATACCAAAAAATGAGTAAGTAATGGAATGACAAAAAAATGAGCTTAAATTCATTTACCTCATCCGGGATTATCATTTCATCAAAAACGATTATGTCTTTAATAAATTTCAAAACATAATACCCACAATCCACACCATTAGCTTGTTCGGGACACTAAAAGAAACAAATATTTGTTAGTATGTACATATATAGATCAACATCTACTACAAATAACATGTTGAAGTACCTTAATATTTTTTCCATCTTAAGTGCTTTTTTAACCTGAGAAGAATCAAAAGCATAAAAAAATTTAGAAACACTTGACAGAGAAGTATAATGAAATAACTTAAATATATTGAAATAAGGACTAAAGGAACAAAGCCATTTGTTCTCAAACCTTTCATAAAGCAATCAAATATTTGCACAGGGACATACATATATACATTACATTATACATATATATATATATATATATATATATATGTTATTTAGTAATATATGCTAAAGAATTATTGTCTTGCAAATGGAGATTGTGTGGTCAGCTTCAGACTTTCTGCAACGCAAGTGCTGATGTTTTGCATGCATGTACCAAATTCCTTTATTATATATAAACAAAATTCAGAAAACTTAATTGGTTCATATATATATAAATGCATTAAATGAATGTATCATGGAAACAAACCAGGCTCTACAAATTTGCTGGAATAAAAAAGGCTATATCAATAGATACAACAAATAGAAGTAGCTGCTATCTACACATAAACACCCATTAACTAATCACTCTCTTTAATCTCTATATCACATTTTGACTTTGTTGACGGAAACTTGTACTCAAGAAGCATGAGTTGGTTTTCCTACTCAGGATAGTCTCTATCTGTTTTAATTTGCTCAAAACAAATGATACCCTGAATTAATAACATATTTTTTTAATAACATCATTTTAATATTTTAATTCCCCAGGATCCGCTGTTGGAACTAGTGATACTTATTCCAACTTTATAATTATATGGATTTGTTCACTGTAAGTACATCTTATGCTTCCTTCATGTCTACAAACACGACTTGATAACTGGTGTAGCTTTGATTGAGATCATAATCTTTAACACAGAACTAGAGCTTTAGTGTGTATAAGATTCCACCTTATAATTTGTTAAAAATAGTTAAAATCCTATACTCGTAACCTTTGAGGAAAAAACAAATACTTAACGTGATTCTAATTTATCCACAAATTGAATGAAATCACATGAAATCTAGTCTTCAAAGAGTAGCATAAACTGAGCAATAAAATAAACAAAACTATATCAAGAGGCGAGATACGAATGCAACAAACGCAAACCTTTCGACGGGTCCACCCAAGCTGCAAATTTCTTGAATGAATTCTAATCTGCTGGTAAAATAGGCGACATAAAATTAGATTATGATCAGATGAGCACTGCAACTAACACTCCTAAAACAGTTAGCACTACCTAGAAATAAGCCTATTGCACAGGATAACAAATGCTCATCGGTGTATAAGAAATGAAAAGGGTCAGGAACTTTTTCCTCATATTGACAAGCACATGGGTAAAGTCATTAGACAATTGGCATAAGCAACAGTATGTTGCCATCGTCATAACCACTTGAAGCTCTTCCATAATTTCAAAACTATCCTAATGTGAAATCGAAAATCTTATAAAATCCATTTGGTTAGAAAATGAGCCAGCACGCAGCCTGTATAGAAAATGTTGTTCACTCATAAAACTAATGATACTCTGACCAGTACAAGTTCTTCCTTCACGACAAAATATACTCTATTACGTCAGACAAGAACCGAGTCCAACCTATGGCCATAAAAAAGATTGAATACGGAAAACAAAGATAAACATTCTAAAATATGCAACTTTCAGACTAAGGGAGCAAACTTTCGCCCTCATTTGAAGGTGCCCTCTTTCCATCATACCTCTGCTTTCTGAAGGAGAAAGGAACATATTTATACTTGATTATGTTTTCTATCTGACGCCTTAGAGTCATAATACACAGCATAATCCAGTAGAAAAGAAGAATTCGCCGATGAGCAACATGATATTCACAGTTAAAAACACGAGTCACAAGAAAAAAAAAATGGATCAAACAATTTATGTATCACAGCAAATTCATAACGTTATGCCTATTTTCAAATTAACAACAATTTCTACCAATAAAACACGATCCAAAACAATTAAGAAATCACTTGAACATATATCATACCTGGGTTGATAATAAGGTGGTTCAAGAAATTTGTTGCCCTTAATCTCGTTTCCTTTCTCCTCCTTCTGCTCGATTGGAAAAATACTCCAGGAATTGAAGATGAAATTCGCCAAGAATGCAGTAGCGAGAAGTAGGGTTCTAGGATCCTCAATTTTTCGTTCTCAGTTTTTATTTCGGCCTTTAGTTTTCGCACGATTCTTTTGGCCTGGTATATTCTTTAATTTAAAATTTAAATTGAATTTTTTATTGTATGGGAGTGAGGAACAAATAGGAATAGGAGTAAGTGTTATATGAAACACTATAGAAGTGTTGTAGCTTACATAACACTTTTAAAAAAGAGTGTTATAATATGAATAAGTGTTATAACTCACATAGCACTTTTAAATAAAGTGTTATGTATTTGTAGTTTTCTTACAGCGCTTGTTAAAATAAGTGTTATCTAAGGGTTACATGTTTTTTAGATAACACTTCTTTAAAAAAGCGTTATGTAAAAAGTGTTATCTGAAGTCTTTTTTGGCGTAGTGAGTATAGAGATAAATTTTGGAAACTTTTCACTTCCAGCTGAAAAAGCTTTGCTTTCAGCTGACATATATTTCACTAAGCAAGCAAATCCACATTCAATTCAAATCTCCCTCTACACAAAAAGAAACATCAACAACATATCAATAAGAAAAAACAAAAAAAAAAACAAAAAAAAAAAAAAAATCTCAACCTTTCCTTATCTCAATTGCCTCAAGCCACGAAACAACCGCCTCGATCGAGGGCCTCCTCCTCGGATCCCGTTCTATACAACAACATGCCACACCCAGCAACTCCATCAGCTGCTTCTCACAATCCCGGTCCTGCACGGCCGAGTCGAATATATCGCATTCCTTCCTCTCGGATTTCTTCTGATACACCCATCCCACCAAATCCCGACTACCCCTTCCCTTGCACACCTCCACGGGCCGCCTTCCGGTCATCAGCTCCAAAAGCACGACACCGAAGCTGTATATGTCCCCTCTGAAGGTAGCCGTCATGCTCTGGCTGTACTCAGGCGGTATGTACCCCAAAGTACCCACCAAATCCGTCGTCACGTGCGTTTCGTACGGGCTAACAAGCCTCGATAGCCCAAAATCCGCCAGGTGGGCCTCGAACTTCGCATCTAGCAAAATGTTGCTTGTTTTGATGTCCCGGTGGACAATGTTAGGCTCCAGGTGTAGGTAGGCCAACCCGCGGGCCGCCCCCTGGGCTATTCGCAGCCTAGTGGCCCACGTGAGTGGTGGGCCATCCTCCCTCTCGTGCAGCCAGTAATCGAGGCTCCCGTTTTCCATGTACGAGTAGATCAGCAGCCGGTCAGGCCCGCGCCGGCAGTACCCTAGGAGGCCGACCAGATTCACGTGACGACACCTGGAAAGTGCCTCGACCTCGGCTTGGAATTCACGCTCCATCTGCCCACAGTCCCCAGACAGCCTCTTGACGGCGGCCCTGCCGCCACCCGGCAGATCGGCCCGGTAGACTAGCCCAAAACCGCCGCAGCCCACAATGTTCACCTGGCTAAAGTTGTTCGTCGATCTCAGTAGATCTGCCACAGTCAGATCCTCGCAGCCTGCCCCATCCTTGAAGATCACGAGCTTCGGGGAGTGAGGCCCGCCGCACTCTCGGTCCACCTCCTCCTCAACCGGACCATCCTCGACTGGGGCCCGCCTGTCCTTCGTTGATATTTTCCGGAGAATGATCACGAGTAGAAAACCGATGCCGGCTCCAAGCCCGATCGTAAGCCCGAGAATAACTGCCCGGTTAAATTTACCATTGTGAGTAGGGGGGGTGGGCCCCTCGGGCCCCACACGGGAGGCAGCACAGGGGATCGTGGCCCCACAGAGGGCCGGGTTGCCCTCAAAGCTCGAGGCAGGGAAGCTCGGGAACTGGCCGCTCGCGGGGACAGATCCCTCGAGTCGGTTGTTGGCTACGCTGAATTTGGAGAGGAAGGTGAGCCTGTCGAGCGAGGGGGGGATAGGGCCATGGAGATCATTGCTTGACAAGTCCAGGACCTCAAGGTTTATCATGTTGGAGATTGAGCTGGGAATTGTTCCCGTAATATTGTTCCGGCTGAGGTCTAATACGTGGAGCTGTCTGAGCCGCCCGATCTCGGGCCGGATGGGCCCGCTGATCCTGTTGCTGCTAAGGAGGATTGAAGGTGGGAAACTTGACGCCTGATTGTACTGAAGGCCACCAGCACTCTGATTTCGCTTCACAAAAAGTGGGATCCCGGTAGAGATGTTGAGGCTGAACGCATAGCTCTTTTCGGAAATCAAGCTCTTGAGTTCGGTTAGGCCTACAGGGAGCCCACCGGAGAGAGAATTGTTTGAAAAATCCAAATAGAACAGGTTTTCCATTCGGCCAATCCACGAGGGGATGGTTCCCTCCAGGTGATTCCAGGAGAGGTCGAGAACCTGTAATTTCCGGCAATTTAGTATCCAATCGGGAATTCGACCATAAAGCCCACAGTTTCCGAGGGCAAAAACCAATAAGCTCTCGAACCCGGTCACATTTTCGGGGATTTGCTCACCATGGAAGTTTTTGGTGAGTATGAGAGTTGTGAGGTTCTTGCAATTTTTCAATACGGTTAGTGAACCACGCAAGTTAACAAGGCTATTGTTTGACAGTGAGAGAAAAACAAGGGACGATAGTTTAGCATAGGATTCGGGGATTTGGCCAGTTAAGTTATTTCTGGCAAGACTCAAGATTTTCAGGTCTTGGCAACTGGACAACGATCCTGGCAAATGACCTGAAAAATGATTGCTGGCCAGATCAAGACTATTGAGATTGAGAATTCTAGAAAAATCAAGATCAATGGGACCAGAGAACGAGTTATTTCGAAGATCAAGCACACGCAGCTTGTTGCAGAAGGCCAAAGTCGAGGGTAGTGGGCCCGAGAACAAATTCGAATGCACAACAAGTTGCTCGAGTCCAGTTAAATTACTGAACACATTAGGAAAGTAACCAGAAAAACTATTGCCAGACAGGACAAGGTTTTTAAGATTAGAAAGTGAACTTATTTTAAGGCTTAGCTCGCCCGATAAATTGTTGGACGAAATCGTAAGATGCTCTAAAGAAGACATCGAGTAAATAGAGTCTGGGATTTCACCAGACAGAGAATTGATGTCCAAATGGAGCCGCTTGAGAGATGTACCACAATTCTCTAAGCCTTCAAGCCCACCTGTAAATTTATTAGCTGAAAAATCCAAAACCCGAATCCTATTAGAAAAGGCGCAAACCTTGGAGTTGATTGGGCCAGTGAACACGTTGTTACTTATGTTCAATGCAAGAAGCTCGGGAAATTCGCCAAAATCAGTTAGGTTCCCCGAGAAGGAATTGCTCGAGAGGTTGAGCAAACGAATTGAGGCCAACCCTGTAATCAGCCCGAATGCAGGCCCGGAAAGCAAGTTATGGCTCAAATCAAGAACTTCCAGCTGCTTCAAGCTGGAGAAGTTCAACGGCAGCCGGCCTTCAAGGTCATTGTGTGAAAGATCGAGCAATTTCAATCGATCCAGTTTGCCCAAAGACTCAGAAATATTGCCCTTCAGGTCCTTTCCTGGCAACCTCAAGATGGACACTCGATTAAGGTCACAAACAACACCGTCCCATTCGCAGCAGTTTGTTGCCCCAGACCAAGAGAACTTGACTGAGCCATTCACCAATTGGTCTGCAAATCCCCTCAGTGCAGAATAATCATTTGGACTGCAATTTTGAGCCTTAGTTGCAAAAATCAAGAACAAACAGGAAACCCAGGCCAAGAATCCAAAATTCAGCAAATTCATCTGGTGAAATTTCGTTACAGGGCCAAGATAAGGATTACAAGCTCAAGATTAGTGCCAACAGGAAAAAAATAAGCCCAAAATCTTGAACCGGGTTCACCATATCAACCAGTGGAACACAACACACAACAGCAAGCACTCAAACTTCAAGAATTTTCAAACCAACATACCGATACATCTCAAAGATCAATCTCAAAGTAAAATAACTAAAGAAAATCAAAGCCCCAGCACAGAACTTGTGGCTGAAGCAATTTTCTCATGGTTTCAGATCCCCAAGCAACAACAACTTTGTAGGCTGAAATTAGTGAAAATTTCTTTAATTATTGCAAAACCCACAAACCAAAGTCCACTCCATCTGCAAAAAGATGCAATTTTTTTTTCTTTTTTCAACGCCCCATCACTTGCAAACGAAGCAAAGCAATAGCCGACAGTCAGCACAAAAAATTTTCAAGCACTCGATAAATTATCGAGCTTTTTGACCAAATAATCTACGGTAGAAAATGTGAACAGCATAAAACAGGGCTTTACTCAGACATGGCAAGCTCAAATTACCGAGAGGAGGACGATGAAGAAACTCTCTTGTGAAAGAGAGGAAAAAAGGGGTCAGTTTTGCTGCAACTGTTAACAGTGATTTTTTGCGTCTTTTTGGTGTAGCAAATCTGGTTTTAATGTGGACAAGAAAAGGAGGTGGTGGTGTGCTGCAGCCTGTGGTGAGATGATGACATAAAAGAGCTGACTTTTTCTATTTTCACTGAGAGGGGAAAATATGTACCATAAATTTTCCTTGGATTTTCGTGTTGTCAACAGTTCATATCGCAGGTGTGACTCAATTGTCAATAACCAAAATTTTGTCTCTTCTCTCTCTCACTAGAAAAAATACTAGTAATACAGTAATACTAATACGAGAAATAGAACTATTCTGTCGGGATTGTAATCGTTAAATTATTATCTTCGATAGTTACATGACAATTTATACAATTTCCGACTGAATAGTTGTAATCATATCATTTTCCTTCTAATATAATAAATGTCTATTTGCAGTGGGGAAGGTGGACTAGGCTTTGTGAAATTAATGAGGTGCGGTGTCGCCACTAATATTTGTATGGTGAACTTCCCACCCATGTATTAAAAAAAAAAAAAAAAAAAAAAAAAAAAAAAAAAAAAAACTTTTTAGCCATTATATAAAATTGGGGATTTTTTTATTTTTAATATTTTGTACCCAATTTTATTGAAGATCAGTCGTTAGACATGTTCACGAGTCACGACCGAACCGATTCGGTCGGGCCCGTTGACTACGTTTTGCCGAGCCAGTTCAAGTTTACAAATTTTTACAATTTGAACACGTATAAATGCTCGATGAAAAGCAATAGCTGAGTTCAAGTCACAAAGGAATGAACTGAGCTCGGCTGCTAGTCCAAAGTTTTTGGAACTGCCGGTTTGCCGATTTTATTATATTTTTTTATTACTTTATTTTTATTAATTTATTAGTTCGGCTCGAAACCGACAAACGGGTTCACAACCAGCTTGTATATATTATCGGGCCGGTTTAGTTCACTATAAAGTATAAAATAGACCCGAAAGCGAAAAATGGACATGTGTGTATGTCGTTGAATTATTGCAGAACATAATCTTTTCTTTAGGAATCACTCAGTGTGTGATTGGATATAGGTAGTTTTTGATTGGTTTTTTAGTTAATTTTTTAAAAAATATTATGGTTAGTTGTTAGTAGATATTTAAATTTAAATTAAAGTATTATTTAAAATAAAATATTAAAGTTGATTTGATGTAAACGTAAGAGAAAAATGATTGGAAGTGATGATTAGTTAAAATTATGTGACTGTATAAAGAGTGATTCAAAGTTGATATGATGTGTAAGAATTATTCGTTTTTTTTTTTATATTATTTAATTATATTGATGATATTAGAGATAATGTGGTTGGATTTAAGTTGTGTTAAATTTGATGAGGTTTGATTGAATTTTTTTTTTATCTTTTATTTTTTTTGATAAACAATCACCACTTCAATAATTTTAACCAAACTTCTCAATTCTTAGATACGTTACGATTTTTAAATTTTCAATAATGCATGGTGTGGACTATAGAATTCAATCGGTGATTCCGACAATCTAGTGTATTTTTTGAAGCACTTTTGTAATAGACTTTTGACTATGAAAATCTATTTTTCTATATAAAAAAGATGTTTGGTGTAAATAACAAAATAAACATTTAAAAAAAGTAACTCCCACAAAAAGTCTATTTCAAAGAAATTTATATAGTGGACATTTTTTGAGAAGTCACTTTTCGAAAAGTCTATTTTAAAATGGACTTCTCAATACGTGTTTCCAAACAAGCCTGTACCTGTCTAACTTTTATAGTTTACTTGAGTTGAGTTCTTGTGTGGTTCCTCTTATTTTCTATCTCGTCCAATAGACTTTTGAGAAGTGGGTCATTAGGTAGCTTTTATCACAGCTAAATCCAATAACAAATTATGGGATAACCACTCCCAAACCAGCTTCCATGTGAACCATACCCAATCCAAGAGATCCATACTAGATCCACTAGAGTTCACTTTGTTCTTACATCACATAGAATATAAGATTTTGTTAAGATTCTTCAATATATAAAAAAAAAAAAAAAAAAAAAAAAAAAAAAAAAATATCTATGGCAAGCAAACTGATCAGTTTTGCTATGAAGCCAACGGTTGGCTCCATAGTAGAGTCAACCTTCTATATACAACATGATGTAAAGAAAGCTTACGAATGAGAAGGATAAACGAGTAAACGAGATACTCTCTCGTAAAACACGTAAAATTCAACAATATCTTTTATTCATTCAAACTCAACCATTTCATAACAAAGCATAAGAGCCCTTTAAATAAGACTCATAACCCTAGACCTTAACTTGTCCTACAAGACAAGATCACTTATTAAACAATAATATTAAATCTTAACTTATGCTCTAAGACACCTATTAAATAATAATAATAATAATAATAATAATAATAATAATAATAATAATAATAATAATAATAATAATAATAATAATAGATACTAATCTACAACATTATTCCCCGGTTCGGAAGGCTTCGCTCTCGAAGCCGATGTGCTCCTGTGGCCGGCGTGTGGTGTCGAACTCATGGTAGGAAACCCCCGTCGTTTCCCCCGGTCGAACACGAAGGAAGAATGTCGTCCAACAATTCCGATGGTAAACATAATCATGGGCAAGGATTGAATTGCTACAAATGCACATGTACACACCTCCATATTCATAAACCACACAGCGGAATTAACACCAAACATACCACACCGTTCACCGCACTCAAATCTATAAGTACAGCCAAGCATCCCGTTGTTAAAAGATTTCAGGATAGACAATCAAAAAATGGCCCACCAGTTATTGAGCCTCGGCTTCGGCTCCGAAAAACAATCGTTGGCCAAGATACTCCAAAAATTGGGTTCGAACGACGATATCCTCGTCAAAGGCTCAATTTCTGCGACGTCCCACATGGGACCCATATTGCTGCAAAGATATATGTCCATCACCGAAGGCTCCTCATCGAAAATAGGAGGACCGTCGTACAATGGTTCGTCAACTTGCTCACTGTCGAATTCAGGGATGTCAACGCGAAACGGGCCCTCCCATTGACCATATTCACGATCAAATCCCCAATCGCGTCGGGCACGATATCCGCCAGCGAAGGCTGCCTCCTCGCACCAGCCCATGTCGCTGCGTTGATCGTCGCCGTCCACGAAGCCGTTCAGAGGTGGTGGGGACCGCTGGCGAGGTGCCCCGACATGGCAAAGTCCCCCACAACCGCCTATGTTTCCCCCGCGAAAGCCACGGCCCACAGACCCATCGCGATTCGTTTGCAATTCCGAAACAACCACGTTGTTAAGCATCAAATTCAAATTCTCGATCCCCCGTCGAAAGATCGGCAAATCATTTCGTGAAACGCACGTCCAACTCTTGAAATCTGTAGTCAATCTGTTGAAACCGATCGTTGAAGGCTGCATCACATTGTTTGTTTGTGGCATTTTGTCGTCCCGACGACATCGCGAATCGTACTGACTGCTGATACCAACTGATGTAGGGAAAGCTTGCGAATGGAAATGATAAACGAGATACTCTCTCGTAAAACACGTAAAATTCAACAATAACTTTTATTCATTCAAACTCAACCATTTCATAACAAAGCAGAAGAGCCCTTTAAATAAGGCTCATAACCCTAGACCTTAACTTGTCCAACAAGACAAGATCACTTATTAAACAATAATATTAAATCCTAACTTATGCTCTAAGAAACCTATTAAATAATAATAATAATAATAATAATAATAATAATAATAATAATAATAATAATAATAATAATAATAATAATAGATACTAATCTACACCACAACAAATAAATCTACTATATTAATAAAATTATATTAATGTTATTTAAGTAATCAGAGAATATGGTAAATTTACTTTGTATGTAGAAGGTTTGTTCCACTATGAAGTCAAATGTTGACTTAATAGCAAGATCGGCAAACTGATAACTATGTGTTTGGTAATTGTTATTGGATTATATAGATATTACACTTTTAATATTTTATTAATTATTGTCTTTTTTTTGTGACAAAAATCTAAAATAAAAAAGATATTTAATGAATAAAGTAAATATTTCTTGTCCACCAAGTTAAATCTTAAGGTAAAGGAAAAACTCTTTGAATAAGGGAAGAGATATATGGACAAATCAAATTGATGTCTTTTCCTCCAAGACTCTCTCTTCTACACGTATACACATGGTTGTCCTGAAAGCCATAAAAAACATCACAATTCATATTCAAGTTCAAGAGTTCTAGAGATTCTCTCAACGAGATTCTAAAGCGTTCTTGAATATTCGAAGCAATTTTCAAGCGCATTCAATTCTTGAAAATTCGAGGAAATAAGCGCATTCAACCTCAAGATTAGCGTTTAATCCGAAAATAAACTGACATACTTCCAAATTGCATTAGTAAA